AGATGAACCACTGATGTCACATGGATTATTTTACAGATCTCCTTGCTGCGTTTCTGGACTTGGGAACATTTCAGTTGCGTTGCTGTCTATGCAGGGTTAGACAGCTCTCAGATTCCATCAAAAATATCTTAATTTGTGTTCCGAAGATGAACGAAGGTCTTATGGGTTTGAAACTTCATGAGGGTGAGTAATCAATGACAGAATTTTTGGGTGAACTATCCCTTTAAATCCTTGAATCAAAACATGGTGAAGAAGCAGAAACAAGCTATCGCGTATGTAAGCAGATGCATTTGTAAAATAATGCGTCAAACATTAAACCGCATATAAATCAAAACTGCCTAACATTACCAAATGAAATTCCTCGATCCAGGAAGTGATATAGGACTGTGCAAGCCTTGGGGGTGTTTATGTATGACACCCCCAAATCGCTACCTATATGCTTCCATATTTATGAAAGCGATCTACTCCAATTATGTTTTGATCATCATTCTGAACTCGATTTTCTCAGCTTTTTGTTCAAAATTTTGCTTTTTTTATTAAACTTACCCACGAATGAGCACGAATGCATGAAGCTAGAATAAAGTGCTTTTTGTTTGTTTGTTTAAAAGCAGAGGCTCTGTTCTTTCTTTTGACATATTGCTTGCTCAGATATTCATATGACAAAATATTCTGGGGGACATGAAAGTTTTGTGAAAATGATTTTCAATCACTAAAAACAGTGGTACATTCTAAAACCTTTAATGTGAAAACACTTAAAGTGCCTTTAAAACAGTGACACTAAAAGATCAAATTCAGTACACACCGTATTGATGATGCGTGCTTTATACAGGCAAGCAAATGCGCCCGGAAAATGAACGCAATGCACTAAATGGTTAAGCGTCTTCATTATAATGGTTTTCTATGGGAAGATATGTAATGTGAAACTTTGCACATTGCGTTTATATTCTGGGTTCATCTTGCTTGCCTGTACAAAGTCTGCATCATCAATAAGATGTGTACTGAATTTGGCCTTTAAATATCACTGTCTTACTACATTACTACCGGTACTTAATGCAAACCTCGTAAAAATAACTGCCGGTGAGTGGAGGAAAGCCATATTTTGCCCTCCATGTGGGCATTCCTGTAAGGGTGTGACGTCACGTGAAAACTATGAATAGCATGCAAGCTTTGAAAGCAAGATCCCACCCTCCCTGCATAATCACTGTCCAAAGCCACGCCCCCTCCAAAACACATGAACGTGCACGGGCAGACCAGAAGCTAAGTTAAGTGATTATTAAGTTAACTTAATCACTTAACTTAGGGATTGCTTTTGGGATGTGAAGAGACTTTAAACCAAATCACCTACCCTACCTTTAAGTGTGTGTTTAAAAAATTTTTTTTTTACATAAAATCTTTATAGCACAATATTGCCAACTACTGGCCTGGCATGCTAGTGTGATGGTGTTTTTGTGTTATTGCATGATGCTGTTGGTGTGGACAAGACTTTTTCATGAAACATAAGACGAAAAATGCTTTTTCAGAAATTTCCATATGCGTGTGAACAAGGAATAAGCACCAGCCAGAGTTGTTCATTCTGACCCATCTCTTTTGCCTATTGTGCAATTTAGAGATGAAACACATTCTGCTGCATCAGCTGTCGTCAGACATACCAGCACTCTGTATCAATCTGTATCATCTTTTTTAAGTACTTCTCATGAATGTCACTGGCAGACCATCCTAAACCTCCTGTCTTCTGCAAATGTTACATTTGCTTTTTTAAGTCTGGATAGGTTTCACTGTGAAACAATAGACAAATATGGCTTTGCATTCCAAGTTTGTTCTTGCTCTACGTAGCAGCAGGATTGTGTAATTTTGTAGCAGTGAAGTCCCAGACAGGGAAATCTTAATCAACATTCTTGGCATAATAGGAAAGATTTGGCTCAAAGGATGTTTTGTTTGATTGTTTAATTTTTTTTCTCTCTCGTTGCACTCTCAAAGGGAAGTAAAAAATTCCAACAGCTTTTTTGGCCCCTTCCCGCTGGCTGTCAGTTAAGCTCAGTGTTTTCCTAGATGTGACACTGATGCCATATATTTCAACTTAAATGTGGAGTCAGAGGCCAGGCTTGACGAAGTGCTCCTGGTGGAGTGGTCTCTCTCCACAGCGGGGAGGTTTGGGGCTGAGCCAATCAGATGACGAGACGGGCCAGCTTCCAGAAACAAGAGGAAAATAGTGTGTTTCTTTTGTGTCAGGAATAATGTGAGTGCAGCATTTGAAATGATTTAGCCTTTCAGCCTTCACTTTTCACACCTGTGCTAGTGGCTTACTCTATATTTATTCTGGGCTTCTTTAAGCCCCCCGAGGTCAGAGATCAAAAATTAGGAGCTGGAGGGGAGAAATCACTTTGACAGGGACATTTTTGGATGTGTTGTTTGTGCTGTTGTTCATGCGAAGGTCAAGGTTTTTCTGGCATCATGCTAGTTCAACCTAAAATGATAATTCTGTCATCATTTACACATTTTAAACCTGTATGACTTTCCTCTGTGCACACAAAATAAGATATTTTATAAATATTATGTCCATAAATTGGGCCCAATTTTGTTATCCCTTGAAGTTATTACTGTTTTAGTAAAACATACAATGACCCCAAATTTAAGCCGCATTAATAGATTTCTTTGCAATTTATAACAAAAAATATTACACATTGTCATTTATTTTACAGAAAAATTAGCAAAACTTCAATATTTTGAGTATTTGAATACTTGGTAGAACATGTTAACAGTTAAAGTGGAGAACTCCACCTGTGGTTACTCTGATAGGAAACAACAATAGCTCAGAAAGTGTTGAGAATCGAATGTGATGACATTCAGACATATTAAGTGTTTTTGTATCCAGAATTTTCCAGATGTCTTTTAGGATCACTGTACATGGTACACCTGGCTGTTTTAATTTTCAATAAGATGGTTGTAGATCTTTCCTGAAGGGCTTCAAGCTTGGAAATAGCTCTTGTTGAAATGTTTGCGTTTGTTGCTTTCTATTGTTGCCTTGGAAATTCTGAAAACACAGAGCTGCTTATAATCAGAAAAACCTTCCTTTATATCATGTAATGCTGCGATCAATACTGTGATATTACTGTCCCTCAAGTCTTTGTGATTGTCATGTTTGCTAATCATAGGGCTGAAATTTTTTTTTTTTTTGCATTTTTCTCTCCTGTTACCTCAAGTTTTCCTCAAAACCATCATCTACCGTAGCAAACGCTGATCAGGGGAGTACGCGCATTCCTGTCTCCCCTCCCATTTCTGCCCCACTGAAAAGGACTGGCGCTAGTACTACAAGTTTGTCCTCATATTCCCCTGGCTAATACATTGGAATTTCTTGGCTGAGACCTCATATGTTCTAACTTCAGTAGAATAAAGATCTAGTTGTTTCATTTTGGAACTCGTTTACCGGCTGAATATTTACAGATACAATTTATCCTGCGCTATTATTGGTCAATGGGGGAAACTTGTTCCAAAATAACCACCCCAGCCAAATGTTTGTTGAAAACTCTTGTTTAAATCTACAAACCAACAGTCTGATCTCAGGATGGATTTTCAGGACAATGCTATTATATTAGTTAGATAATTACCCAGATAAAAATTGTAAGTCAACACATGCTAGCAGTGTTGTTAACTAGCCTTTCATGCTAACTCCAGTGTTTGTCAGGATGTAAGCTATTGCTTTGCAGATTTGATTCATGTCTCATTTGTAAATGAGGTTAATTACAGAAGCAGTTCAGGATAAATACAGAGTTCTGGCATGGAACTCTAGATGGCGCAGTCCGATAGGTCTAACTCAATCTGACCTAATGACATCATTATCACATGGCACTGCTGATTGGTTCTCTCCTGTATCGGTAGCCAGTGAGCTCGCTGCTCAACATTCAAATATATGACTAGGGCTTGCCATAGCAGTTGCAGCTTGCTTCAGAAACCCTCCACCTTCCCCAGCTCCACCTGTATAGATCTGCTACGAGGTGATTCATGTATGCTATCTGGGGGTTATTTCATGTGTGTTATATTTCCAGCAGCAATATTTCTTACATGCTCACAGCAGCATGTTGTGTATGTATTGGCAGTAGCAAGTCTCGGTACTTGCTCTGCCGCAGCAGCAGCGTAGCAGATCTATTCCGCCAAGACCAAATACATTAACATTGTCATGTACATTACCATCCCAATCCCTCCGAGAGTTGTCATGACAGAACAGATTTTACATTGGACATCACATGGTGATCCAAAACCAAAAATTATAGGAAACATTATAGTTTTTTTCAAATACTATAAACAGTGTAGAACCAGCAATATTGACAATTTTAATATCTATACAGTTTCATACTCACAGCAGCTAATAATTTACTACATTGCACATTGTGCTTGTTACAAAGCTGGGTGCACTGATATTAAAATTCTTGCTTAATTGATAATTATTGTCATGTTATAATCGATAACTGATAAGTTTTGTCAAACTAAAAAACAATTTTAACACTAAAAATTAAAATCAGTCTACAAGTGAATTTAGGCATCAGTATGAAGGTGGATATTAATTTTGCTAAAAATTAAATGGTGTTATTAAAGTGAGAGTTAGTTTAAAAAATCCTAAATATTGGTCAATAACTGCACCAATATATGATGCACCCCTAGTGTTTAATGTAATCTGAGTCATATTTTGTGTAGTTCGGTTCATGGTTTTTAAGGACATCACAGAACCTATCCATGTTGGCATCTGTCTAATTTAACTAGCTTCTACCAAGTAACCAATGCATTTACATTTAAGTTTAATTAGATGCACCACCTTTGACATCAACAACAAAATATTTGGCATTTTATTATTCCATTAAATCTATTTTCTAAATTTGCACTCTGTTTTGCATTTAGCATTGGTTTGTTCATGTGGTTCTCGACCCATCAGAATTAAACTGGATTAAAACTCTTAAATTAGTGTAAGATGTCTCCACCAAATTAAGCTTTCTTTCTTTATCACATAGATAAAGAAATACTTTGAGCTGGAACCTCTGGCACGAGGCAAGAGCTGGATTCTGGAGGGCAGCACGGTGGACAACATGGACGTGGTGAAGGAGAGTTTCGGTCAGCTCATTCATCTGCTTGAGGAGAAGGACCACGAGATAGGCAGGATATGATTCGGAGATGACATCCCAGCATCCCTCAGACACTACCGATCGCCAACTCACCACAGGCCAGCACATCCCGGTTCAGCCTGGCCGTCTTGTAAACTACATTGTTACTTTAACTCTGTTACTGTGGTGAAACAATTTGAGCCATGGGAAAAAATGGACTATGGTAAATCCTAATGTAAGGACGCATATCTGCAGAAAAAGAAGGTACCTCAACCCTTAAGTTTGATACCTTCTCGTAAACCACACATATTAACCCAGAACAAGCGTTCAGCACGCGATCACCATTCTCAGTAAAATGGTTGTATCTGTCCTTTTTAGTACAGACCTAGTCGCACATTGCTACTAAATAGATGATGTAATCATATGCTTGGTCGCGTAGGGCAACTGGGAGTCATGTAGTCCCTAGTTTGTTTTCTTAGCACATCGTGCGAGTGATTGCGTGAATGATTGTTTGCATGCGTGCGCGTGCGCGCGCGCGTGAGAGAGAGAGATGCCAGTTTGTACTTAAAAGCCTTAAAGTGAGCACTAATGTATTTTTAAAACAAATGTTTCATTGTGTTTTCACAAACGACAGTCTTTAGATGTAATTCAAATAAGCCGTCTTAAATATTTGTGGCTGTGAATCGAAATGAAGTGGAATTATGAGTCGTAAAAAAATAAAATAAAATGTAATATCTCTACACTGCATGGAGCCGCACTTGATGTACCACTGGAGCTTTAGAGTGACCTATAAACGCACATTTTAAAATTTGGGATCATTGAGGACACAGATGTTTTCATAACTTGGTCTAGTATTATTTCTCAGCTGATCATATCCAGGATTTTGCTCATCTTTCTCTTTATCTTGGATGGTAATGGCTGACAAAGCCCTACTGAAAAATATAACACCGAAAGACATTGAAACCCCAATCAGCCCCTCTAGGTGAACTGTGACACAGCCGTGTATGCGTGATGTATTTACTATGTGCTTGTTTGGATATCACGTTCTTTGTTTTTGAATTTTTTTGTATTTCTGTTGGCCCTGAATGTAACACACTCTCTTTGCATAATCACACCTCCTCTAGTCTACATGTTGTCCCATTTAGATGAGTTTCTAGATGCGTGAATGGAGGAGGAAGCTAATGCAAGAGCCCAGTCTCGATGTGCCACATCAGCCACACTTCCAAAAACAAGCATCATTTGACAAACACCTTGAATGCATAATCGTCATCAGACTCGGGCAACATATTGGGTTTTATTTATATCTATCTACTACAATTTTATACCCTCCAAACCAGTTCAGCTGCCTTTTTGTAATTCAAATATTTGTACATTTGTTACAGATTAGTCTCTGGAAAGACATGTGCCTGTCTTTGTACTGGACTTTTAGCTGTTTACCAAGGTGGCATCAAGTCATTCACATGTTTGACAGTGTTTATGTGTATTTATGCATAATTTCCACTGAGCAACATGGAAAATAAAGGCTGAAGAAGGACAAATGTGTTGTCTTTCATCATTTACTCATAGGATGGTATCATGTTTCACTTTTTTGATTCATGAATAATGGATAAGAACAAATAATCCACACCTTGACACCATCACTTCCTGTCTTTCTTTTTTTGTGCAAATATTTTAAATAAATTTACGTATTTATTGCCTTTTTTTTCCTAAGAAATATTAATTAAAGATAATGGAAAAATATTTAAAGGAATAGTTCAACCTAAAATGAATTTTTTTTAAAAATGTACTCACCTTCAGGCCATCCAATGTGTAGATGAGTTTGTTTCTTCATCAGAACAGATTTGGAGAAATGTTGCATTGCATCACTTGCTCAGCAGCTGTTTGGACTCTCATTCTGACGGCACCCATTCACTGCAGAGGATCCAGTGGTGAGCAAGTGATGTAATGCTACATTTCTCCAAATCTGTTCTGATGAAGAAACAAACTCATCTACACATTGGATGGCCTGAGGGTGAGAACAATTTTAAGCAAACTTTAAATTTTTCAACGAACTATTCAAGTTTTGCTTTCAAGAAATTAATTCTTTCTTTTCACCTTTTTTCTTCATGATATCAAGATGCCATCCTTTTATTTCTGACTTCATGTTCCCAAATTTATAAAAATAAATTAAAATTCAGATCCAGATAAATGAGCGTCATTTCACTGACCCATTTACCAATAAGTTTAGTTGCCTTCTTTGATATTTCCCTTTGTTTTGGTCAACTTAATGGCTTTGAGCTCGCTACTGACTAAAGCGTAAGGAACGCCAGCATCTCTGTGGGTCATCTGCACAAGAGTGATTAGTCATAGTGTTTCCCTGTCTATGGATTAGTCATCTACAGTCATTTCCAGCTGTCCTCGTAACCCACAAAACTATGAGATGGAGGCAGTTTCTTTTCATTGGCTAGTAGGGATTCCCATAAATCAGACTCTGAATTAATATATCCATGTATCCAATAAACATGATGTATCCATGCCCATACAGGAGCTTAACAAAACCAGATCTAGCTAAAATGTCAAATGACACATTTATAGATGCTGGGGATATAACAACAAAACAAAACAGAGTGGGGACAAAAACAGAATTAAATGAAAAAGTCCCTAGCTTCAGGCAACTTGGACCACAATCACTAGACCACATTCTTATTCTAGGACTTTAAAGAAACTTTCTTCTAGTTTCAGGTGACAGCAGACATCCAGAAATATAATTAGGTGCCTTCTCCTTGACCAGAAGACAACTTCAGTTAAAAGCAGCACAGACACTAATGATCAGTTAATAATCTCTAAATACAGCATGAAAATTGTCCGTGATTTTGCTTTCTGGGGGCAGACAGAAAATGATTCCTCTGATTTTCAGATCTTACTGACAAAACCTGATCTGATCATATGAAGTTGTTCAAAGAATGAACTTCTGAAAAATCCATCTTTTGGTAATGGGTATTGTGTCTGGCGAAGAGACATGATCTAAAATAACCTGAGACCATTTGAAATGACTCGCTCACGCTATCCCAGACGAATATTAGTATGCAGACAGATGAACACTTGGGATTCATCTTTTAACTTTAACCATGTCTGAAGAACTTCACAAAGCTGTGCAAGCCAAACTTTCAATATTTTCTTCTTTTTCCCCAGTCTGTCTGACAGCCTTACGTTAATCTTCTTAAAACGTCTCTGCTCTCTATCACACCTGTGCAACGGGAGAGTTTCAGAAAGTTTCTTAAACTTGGGTATTATCAGTTTCTTTAGCAGCTCTTAAAGGGATAGTTCGCCCAAAATGCTGTCTTTCTTCTGTGGAACACAAAAGAAGACATTCTGAGATATAACTGTTTTCGTCCATGCAATGGAGTCATTTGGACCCCACTGACTTTCACTGACTTGAGGGTGAATAAAAATGGCAGAATGAAATTACATTTTTGGTTGAACTGTCCCTTTAAGAGAACCCAGGTGAATAGGGTAAAAACGTATAACTAACAGATATCACCATATCTTTTCCAGTTGGTTGATTATATTCACAATTGCAAAAATGTTTTGTATAACAACTTTTCTAAAATGTTATGTTTTATATATATATATATATACAAATGGGACGCTATTGAATTAAATAAGCACTAATTTGTATATATTTCCAGAACAGAAATTTAAACATTGGATAAAGCCATGTTCGAAATTCTTGTTCCGTTTTCTTGACATAATAGAATCAAATATTAATTTTGGATCTCTTTTAATCACAGAGAATTATGGAAGCATTATGGAACAATTCAGGCTTTTTGTCCTCGCAATAAGAAGAAAAATAGTCATAACTACGATATATAGACTCAGAAAAAGTCAGAATTGTGAGATAAAAAGTTATAATTACCTTTTTCATTCTTTATTCTGTGAAGGAATCAAAAAACAGAATTTCGAGATGTATTTCTCTCAGAATTCAGAGGGAAAAAAGTGAGAATTGCAAGATATAAACTCAAAGAAAAAAAATCTGATTTGCAAGATTTAAACTCAGAATTGCATGAAAACAGTTGCAATTATATTTTTTTTATTTGAGAAAAATTTGAATTTTGAGATTCTGAGGAAAAAAGTCAGAATTCTTAGTTAATGTCAAACAATTCTGACTTTTTTTGAGAACTGTGAGAAGAAAAGTCTGAATTGTGAGATAAAAAGTCGCAATTGCATTTTTATTTATTTATTTATATATATATATTTTTTTTATGTTTTAATTTTTTTATCTTAGCAGAAACAGGCTTCCATCGAAAACAGTGTCAACAGCCAGAAAGAAAAAAACAAACAATGTTTTTAGGAATAAAATGTTATAAAATCTGGCAAATGACATATGAACAAACCCCTCTATGAAAACCTTCCGAGTATATATAGGAATACAACTATAAAGTTCGGCATGTGTAAGTGCTACTGAAGTGGAGATTTCTGGCTCGGTGCAGGAGAAAAACCTCACTTTGAGAGAATAGCCTTTAAACACATTGTAGTTGAAGTCTACAAGCAAATAAAGCACAATAAAATAAACAGTTAGAAGTGTATTTTGGATGTTTTCTTTCTACTGCTCTGACACAACATGTTAAGAAAAGCCCCCCACCAAAAAAAAAAAACACACACACACAAAATTGTTCAGGAATAAACAAATCGGCCATAATGAAACTCAAGAATCCCAAGACTGCCATTGAAAATGACCTTAACTAGGCCATAGTTACTCAAAGCAAAAGCACACGCGTCTGAAAAGCAATGAGCCTTTTGCATTGCTTTTTCCTTCATGCACATGAGAAATGTGCAGTTCCTATCGCCGCCGTACCTCCACAAACATGTTCCCATGACTGATTATAATGAGTTAGGGCTGCAGCTCGAGTTGCCTCCATTAGTGAATGCCATTTTGCATTGTATTGCAACACAGAGGTCAAATGTAAGGACAAAATGTACATTCTCCGCTTTACAATGCTGGGACATCAAAACAGGCCCGTCTGGGGTAACGAGGCATGCATGCTCATTTGGGACACTTTCTCCATCAGTGAGTGAGAAAAACTCTTCTTAGTAATGTTAAGACTAACAAAGATAGCCTCTAATAGCGGCTCTCTGTGATCTGGTTTCAAAGCCTCAAGCCCGGTTTTAATTGCTGATTGTTTTTAACGGCAGATTCGGTTCTCTCTCTGATTCGACTACGATTCGCTGTCAGCGCATTGAAGTTTGAGGAAGTGTAGGCCTACGCCTCTTTTGATGGCTCTGCGCATTCCATTTCCTTGTTAAAATTCAAACCAAATTTATACGACCACTAATAGAGAACATTTCTGCAATGGCAAAAACAGTCAACAGCACATTAATAAGCGTGGATTTTCCATACAGGCCCATCAGTCACGTGTTCAACAGGGATCTCTGGTTTTAATAATGCTCTATAAACACTTAAGACAACAGACTGAGTGAATAAACCAAGATAAAGGTCTGTATATTGCGTGCATGAGCTGCAACAGAGACACTCTGGTTTGCCTTCATCAAAAGTGGACAGAGACAGGCAGAAGAGACTGTTTTGACTGCTGTCCAGAGCGGCAGAACTGTTCGATTACACCCCCGAGTACATTTCTCATTCTATTTCCAGGCATCAGACGCACACAGAGTGTGTTAAACCTCAGCTGACCAGTGGCTGTCTCGCAGACATCGACTGACTCGCACGTTTGTATTGAACTTCTATGAGAGACCCAGCGGGGATCCGGCGGACTGGTTGCTAGAGAGACTCAATGAACTGTCAGGAAATGACCCACAGAGCTCAGTTCTCTCCAGACGGGTTATCTTCAAACATTTTGCTTGCGCCACAGAACGCTTAATGCTTTTTTGAACACTGTCCTTTTATTCGTTTAATTGCAAAAATAATTTTCTTAATTATATTTACTTTATATATTTCTTATATATTTCATATCTATTTACTGTATATATAACATTGTTATTGTTTTTATTTTTTAATACTTTTTTATTGCCGATTATAGAAAATGCACTGAAAATGAACATTGCAAGAAAAATAAGAAACATTATATATCCCACTATTCTTTTTTCCTTTCCCCCTCCTGTGGCTATTTATTTATTATGATATATGATTATGAAGCAGCTTGCGAAGACAACTCAATATGAAGGTGTCTTCCTGCAATTATTTTGCGTTAAACAATCTTTTGGTATTCACAATAAAATCAGGATAGAAACACTTGGGTAAGATGATTCCTTTTGCTCAAATTCAGCAGCTCCAGTTTTTAAAAAAACTTGTTTCAAAAAGGAAATGCTTTTTTATTTCTGTGAAACACAAAAGTTAACATTTTTGAGGAATTCTTTGCTTTATAACAACAGTTCGTTGAGACTATGCTTGACACACTCAAAATAGGACTAGAAAGCACTATAAAATGTAAAAATAGTCCAGAACACTCGAAACATGGCCCGCATTTTATGGACGTTTTAAATTATTTAGATTTTTGGAGCTGGTGATCACTATATATATATATACTAGATCCTAA